GGGGGGTTATGTTGGGGAGTGGAGGGGGAATGTGATGGTGGTAGGTGGGGAGGATCATGAAGGGAGGTTGGTCGGCTTGTGTGGTATCTACATGATACAGAGTATAGGAGAAGGGTAGGAGTAATGATATATATTAACGGTCTAGTGGTAGTAATGGGACCGATAATCATTCTTAATGAGAGTAGATGTAAGGAGAGGGAAATAAGGAACTGTTTATTGTTCCCTATTTTTGGAAAGCTTAAGAACTAGTTTTATTGTAAACAGTTAGAAAGATGGTAAATAAGGCTCGTTAATAATAAATAACATTTAGTATACGATAGATAGATAGATAGATAGATAGATAAATAGATAGATAGATAGATAGATAGATCGATAGATCGATAGAAAGATAGATAGATCGATAGATAGATAGATAGATAGATAGATAGATAGATAGATAGATAGATAGATAGATAGATAGATATTTACAGAAATAAATAAATTGAAATAATTATAGATAACTTATTTTAATTTACATATTCTGCTTTATATGCATTATTCTTAGGTTTAACTGTTTGAAGCCTATATTTGCATTGTTTAAGGTATATAGCAGTTAATATGCAACATTTCTCGGAAATGAGCATATGCACACTGCACACTGCACACTGCAAACTGCATTATTTTAAATAATTACGTGCATAGTGAGAAAATTGGTTAACCTTTTTCATATAAAATCTTGCCATTTTTAAAAGAAAATCATTTTGAATGAAAATATATTAACCCAGTACGATTTATAAAAAGCATATTAACTTTTTTTAAGCACACAATTTTATTTTGTAAACATGTTAGATTCTAGTGTATAGGTGTTTAGCGTTTTTAAAGATAGCGTTATTAACAGTTTCGGTTGGTTTTCAAAAACTTAACATCCAATAATGTGAAACAGTATTCTGCTAAAGTTTGTTTTTATTAAACATTTTTATATCATAAAATTGATAAACGAACCAAAAACGAACCAAAAACGAACCAAAACGTACCAAAAACAAACCAAAAACGAACCAAAAGCGAACCAAAAACGAACCAAAAACGAACCAAAAACAAACTAAAAACGAACCAAAAGCGAACCAAAAACGAACCAAAAACGAACCAAAAACAAACCAAAAACGAACCAAAAGCGAACCAAAAACGAACCAAAAAAACAAACCAAAAACGAACCAAAAACGAACCAAAAACGAACCAAAAACAAACCAAAAACGAACCAAAAACGAACCAAAAACGTACCAAAAACAAACCAAAAACGAACCAAAAACGAACCAAAAACGAACCAAAAACAAACCAAAAACGAACCAAAGCGTAACAAAAACAAACCAAAAACGTAGTTTTTACACGTTCGTTGTTGGATCGTTTTTTGCTCGTTTTTTGCTTACGCTATCTGTCAGGGTTAAGGTATAGTAAGAAAAACAAATGTTTAAAATAAATCATTTAAACAAAATATTTGCTTTATATACCCTACAAGGGTACACTATTTACCAAATACTGATCCAGAGAGAAAATATATTTTTATAAAAATAACCAACATGTTTACTAACAGTACCACAACTTAAAAGCCAGAACAAGTTGAATGTTAAGCAATCTAAAAAACGATGATGAAAAAAATGTCCACAAATTGAAAAAGATTTGAATAATTGCTTTAACGAAGGACTCGAAACTCTCTAATTCCCAATAAAGGCACAATTCATGAAACCAAACCACAAAGAAAATTGAATTTAATATCTGAGGTTTTAAGAGATTATTGTCTTAATTTCAGTTTAAAATGAGCCTTCATTTGAATATACGTTTCGGAAAGTTGAAAAAGAACTCAGTTTTTGCCACAAACTTAAATTTTCTAAACCTTATATCTCTTAAACTTATCGTGTAAACCTTTGATATTTTAAACTCAGATTAGTTGGTCTAACTTAATTCATAGTTTGAAATATCTTAGGTCTCCGACATTGGGTTGCAAAGATCGGTCTAACTTAATTCATAGTTTGAAATATCTTAGGTCTCCGACATTGGGTTGCAAAGATTGGTCTAACTTAATTCAAGTGTTTGAAATATCTTAGGTCTCCGACATTGGGTTGCAAAGATTGGTCTAACTTAATTCAAGTGTTTGAAATATCTTAGGTCTCCGACATTGGGTTGCAAAGATTTAGGAATTAGGAAATCAGAGTTTGTGTCACTGACGCCATTCCTTTGCTAGAGCTTAGTTGTCAAACATCTCTATCAAAGCAGAACGAGAAAAACCAGTTTGAAGGAACCGAGTTTTACAACAAACTCTGATTTTTTAATCGCTATATTTTTGCAACCAGATGTCGTAGACCTTTGATATATCAAAATATGAATTCTGTAAGATCAAATAGTCGACGTTTAAATTGTTAAGGTTTACACAATCAGGTTGCAAAGATATAGGGATTAGAAAAGTTAAGTTTGTGGCAATGACGCAGTTCCTTTAACTTATCTCGAAACCAAAAAACGTCAAAACTTTATTTTTTTTTGGAGTAATCCTGTGCATCTCCGATAGATCTCCTTAATTAAAAAGATATTATTAATATTTTTAAATATAAAACCATGAAGGTTCAATTATTATGGTGAAAGGCTGGAATGTAGGATTACTTGATACAAAACCTCCGAAATATGAACCGCACATTCTTGCAATATAAAATTATATTGCGTAGCATATTCAATAATGCGGAAGGGAGACTTTAACAACCTAGGTTTTAGTTTTAAGATATTTAATATTTCTAATAAATATTGAAATACCGCAGGTCATGGATTACACAGATAGTTAGGTATTTTCCTAATGCGTCAAGGTTGGGTAGTTTTGAATATCTATTAAAAACATATTTTTCGGAATATTTTATGCGCAGAACAAGAATTGAGTTGATAGATTATATACAAGTTGAAGATACTTCAAATTTCAGTAAAGTTATTTCAAGTGTTTGATTTACGTTTAAATTTGGATAGTTAGATAGACAGATAGACCGATAGATAGATGAATACTAGAAAGGCAAATAAGATTTCTACAAACATTCATTCATTCATCTTTACATGCAATCATTCATTATTTATCAAAAGTCAGTGGTTTTCTTATATTAATTGTTGTAAACTCCACATTTCTAATAAAGATTTTTGAAACCTGATGATTTAAACATTTCATATTTCAAATTTTTCAATTTGATCTGAAATCATTTAGGAACAAAAAATGAATAATTAGGAACAAAAAAATCGTGCCGAATTTTAGGAACAAAATTAAAGGATTAGAACAGGAATTAGGAACAAAAATAAAGGATTAGGACAGGAATTTAGGAACAATGAAAAGATTGTTTAAGGAATTAGGAACAAAATTGAAGGATTTGGACAGGGATTTAGGAACAATAAACAGATTGTTCAGGAATTAGGAACAAAAATAAAGGATTAGGACAGGAATTTAGGAACAATAAACAGATTGTTCAGGAATTAGGAACAAAAATAAAGGATTAGGACAGGGATTTAGGAACAATAAACAGATTGTTCAGGAATTAGGAACAAAAATATAGGATTAGGACAGGGATTTAAGGCGGGTCGGACACAGGAACAGGAACAATAATAGGAACATTAGCAATTTAAGAACAAAAAGAAATTACTAGTTATACTTAAAAGCATGAAAATTAGGAACAATATTACAATTTTGATAAATGAGTATTGATTAAGGAACATTACTAGATATGAACAATATTATAACTTAAGTCTAGTTTCTTACAAATTTCTGATTCTAAATTTATCGTTAACAATAACATTTATCAAATTGGATACAATTTTTGCCTCAAAATCTCAGGGGGGGGGCGAATGCCCCCCCGCCCCCCCCCCTTTTATCCGCCCCTGCATAGCTTAAAATAATAAAGATATGCAACATTAGGTTGCTATGTTCATTTCCTATTTGTAGTATTAGAATTCAACTAATTTGTAAATATTTTATTATTACGATACTTACACTGGCCCGTTGTAATCACTCCGCTCTCGCTCCGGCGGCGGTTGAGAATCCGTCTCCGTCGTCTCCTCTGTTGTACCGTCCGTGCTGGACGGGCTGGGCTGGGACCGAGGACCGGAGTAGGCCGCACCGTACCGGCTCTTATTACCCCGACTGCGGTTTGAGTACCGGTCAGCAGAGTGACCGCGGTCCCGTCGGCTGGAAATACTGGGGGTCGTAGGACCGGTCCCTGGGGGATACCTAAACATGGAACTTTTTTAAAAGGACTGTTAACAAACTTCCACAAACTTGAGAACAAACCATTTCAATGATTATCTAGGACAAGATTTACTATGTATTTGTTTTATTTTAGGATGATAGCAAATGTACACGTATGGTGGAATTAGTGGTCTCGAAAACGCTATTTGTAGGATAATGCAGTAAAATAAATTGTGTAGTGAGTACTTGTCAGCCTACCTAGTTTTTAAACTGTTAACAAATATTATTAATTAAATTTTGCAGTGTCTATTTCTATTTATTTAATTATTTTTTTTCTCATTTAATTGATTTAGGGGGCATCATGTGTAACTAAAGTTTATTTGATTTTTGTTTTAAACCTTGCATGATTTGAAAAATAACTTTTTAACGAGTTATTGAGTCGGAATTTTTGAGTCCTTAACATGCGATCAAACTTGAATAAAAGGAGTTACGAGAGCAAAAAGACGTATCGGTGATTCCCCACAAAATGAAAGTCTTCCTTATTTCGGGAAGAGAGTTACTATTTATTGCATACAAAATTATATTTGGTTTAGAGAGGTTTGATAATAATTTTGATGATAAAATGTATAATTTTTACCTATATCTATTTGAATTTGGTGTTCTTGGATTCTCATTATTATAGTTTACTGCAGTGTCCCTAGATACAGTAATGATAATTAAATAATTGTAGTATAACATAGTTATTGCTTATTTGTATCTTTAGTCAAAGGAATTGAGTTTTTGCCACAACCTCAAATTTTCTAATTTCTGTATCTCTGCAACCAGTTGGTAAAAACCTTTAATATTTCAAACTTAGATTATTTGATCTAACAGAATAATTAGTTTGAAATATCTAAGGTTGCCAAGATATAGGGAAAAGAGTATTTGAATTTGTGGCAAAAACTCAGTTCCTTTACAAAAATCTAAATAATAACGCAAATAATAATGATACCTATGCTGCCAGGCTATTGGCGTTCTCGGATCTCCTCCATCTAGAACTCGTGATGTGTGCCCCTCATCCACCCTTCGTGCCCCTGGTCGACGGTAATCCATTCTAGACAACCCTTTGGTCAACTTTCTAGGCTTCAAGTCGACAGAATCTTGAGTGGTGTCGACTCACTAGATGTTTGACTAACTCTTTGTCGAACTTAGAAATGTACTCGTTGTACGTTTCTTTTTCACTTAATTATTAAACAGTTTATTCATTTTAGATAATTTCTAGTCACAGTATCATAAAAACTGTTTTTTCCACTCAATATTCGAAGTTCGAATGTTCGAAGTTCAATCGATGTTATCAACAATTTATTGTTTTCTGCTTTGATGGAGGATTCAAAATTACTCAGCAAGGATCTGAAATGAAAAACAAACATGAAATTAAAAAGAAAATTATACATATTTCACCCAGAACTAACCAGAGAGAGAAGCATTCGGTTTCTTCTATTTGAAATCGTGTTTTCGTCTATATTTCTACAACTTTTAAACTTACGGATTTGTTTATTATATACCTTTTCTTTCAAAATGTACATGCCAACAAAAATTATTTAAGAGAAAAGGCTGTAAAATTATGTATAAGGGGTCGAACTGTGATCGAAAGTCACAGCTTTCTGAAATATTGACAGAACCGTTAAATCCACGTGATTTGATTACTATATTGACATTATTGGAATTTTGTTCGACAATTTTTTTTAAAAACAAAGTTATCAACAGCTACGAGATGTAAATCTGGATAAAATGCTTCAGCTTTCTTGAGGGTCACATAGAACTACGGCATGTCCGATTTACAACGGTACCCTTACATCAACAGTCCCTTTAAGTTAAATGTCTGCACGCATTCGCACACAAAACGTTAAATTATATTGCAGAAAAATCCAACTGTCCGATTGATCGTGGGAAGGCCGCAAACAGAAAAACATATCATTGTGAAATTTTATCATGACACTTTCATGCATGGTTCTCTTTATATTTGATCATAAAATCAGGAGGGGGGAAGGCCTGCAATTCACATATCTCGTCCGACCCAACTTCAAATGCTCGTCCTAAAAGTGTCAAGTTCCTTAAGATCGATTAAAACCCTTATTCAAAATTGAAATATTGACTAGAAAAAAAAACATAGTTGTAATTTAATTTACACGTTTAAGTTATATTTTTTACTCTCAAAAACACATAATCAAACTCATAACACAATTAAATTGAATATTATTTTAAGCCCTAAAATAGAGTTGAAAACTAAAAAATTTCAGGAATTAACATTTGGAAGTGGTTCTTATCAGAAAATTAGTAGAATATGTGGCTCGGACGAAGAATTGTAATGGCTAACCTTCTCCACCCCTAGTCATGCTAGCTTCAAATAAGTTCAAAGGAAGGGGGGGGTCTTGCTGAGTTTTTCATTTAACAAAAAATATTATTGCGTGTGTTGGAGTTTATATCATGTGAAACTATATAATTTCATATATTTTGAAATCTTAAATGCTTTTGATCCATGACTGAAGAGCTCTGTTTGAAAGGAATTGAGTTTTTGACACAAACTCAAATTTATTTTCTTATCCCTATATCTATAAAACCTAATTGTGTAAACCTTTGATATTTTAAACTTAGATTATTTGATCTAACAGCTTTCATAGTTTGAAATGTCTAAAGTCTACGACATAGGGTTGCAAAGATATTGGGATGGTGAAATCATAGTTTGTGGCAAAGACTCAATTCCTTTGTTAGAAATTCTTGCTTTTCTTTAATCATTCTTGATGTGAAATCATTCTTTTAAAACATTTTTCCATAGTTGAATTTTTCAAAACGTAAAAAAAAATACTTAAAAAAATTATAAATCATTCACAAATTGGTGAAAAAATGGTGTCCTAATTAACAGTCACTTATCCTTAAGTTTGAAACCAATATTTTCTTATTTGCTACATATTACTTTTTGTTAAACTATCCTTTATACATTATTAACGCAATTTTTGGTGTATTTTTAGTAAGCGATCAAAATATTACTAAAATACGTCAATATAGACAGGAAGTAATTAGTTTTATGAGATGAGAGGATGAACTGTAATTGTGCAAGCACATTAGAAAGTGCAACTAGGTGTGCATAATTTCTGCAGCAAAAACTGGACAGTGATGACTTAACATTTTAAACATAACAAATCTGACTTAAACTGCAGAAAAACAGTTTTATTATATAAGCAGAAAACGTTTATATGTTAAAAACAACTTTTTGAGCAATGGTATAATGGTTTTAAAAATTTTGATAATAAAAGGAATTTTCAACACCCCTAATGTAAAAGAGTGATACTAAAACACCACCATATTATTTGACGAAGAAAATTGTTAAACTTTCTCTCTAAAATAAACCAATTTTGCACATTATCTTGCAAGATTTTGCAGCAGAAATACAAGTTCTGCACACCAGGAAATCGCCAGAAAATGTCTTGTTTTGAATCTGTAATGGAACTTTCTTTAAAGAAGAACTATAAATCTATAAACTTTAAATATATACTGATTATATGATATGACTGTAAAAATTGTTGATTCAAAAATATTATCAAATTATTTCCGTCAGCTTGACTTTCAAAAATAGCACAAACTTCAGACGCCAAATCTGTGCAAATTTGTGCAAAATCTTGACAAATTTGCGGCAACTATTTGCAACGTTTTCACATGAATAAACACCAAGACTAAACTTTTATATGACTGAGCCTAAAGTTTAAACTAGAACATCTAAACTTAGCTTAAATAGTTTGGACTTGAGCTTAGCTTAAATAATCTGGACTCGAACTTGAACAAAAAATTAACATTTATATGAATGAGTCTAAAGTTTAAATTCGAACATCCAAACTTAGCTTAAATAACTTGAACTTGAACTTGAACCAAACTTAGCTTAACAAATCTAGACTTGAACTTGAACAAAACTTGAACAGAATGTATATATATATATTTTATTGCCTCCTATAGGTATTGACAATCTATAATTGCCTTGCCAACTAATCTCTTTAAATGTTACTGAAGAGTCAGTAAAAAATACGCTTACAATCTCTTTAAAGGGACTGTACGCGTAATTTAAAATGATCCTCCTGGCAAAGATGAAAGTCCGCTGTACACCGCAGTTCCCTAGACACCTTCATCTAATTATAAATAAGAAAGAGAAGTCGTTTTCCTGCCTCGAAAAGTGTTTATTTCTGATGATTTCTCCATTACTTTTTACAGGCAAAATATACGTAAGCCACTTTGGCAGAGAAACCGCAAACGAAAATAAACAGTTTAAAGAAAGAAAAACACGGATATCTTATACAAACTTGATCAGACAAAGCTTTTACCGTCGTACCGTTGTAAATCGGGCATTGCCATCTTTGTATTGAGGGTCACATGAATTTACGCTTACAGTCCCTTTAAGAAAATAATAATAAACGATAATTTCGCGGAGCCATTGAAGCAGAAACTTTGGACTTTGAATGGAAATATAATTTGTTTCCCATGAGTGCTAGGTAATTATGTGTGGGGGGGACACAGTAGTGTATGGGGGGGGGGGGTCAGCCAAAATAAGTTTATTCCATAAACCTCTTATTTATGTCAAATAATGCTTGGATGCTTAAGATTTTTATTTAAGAGAAGACTCTAAGTTATCTAAATGTTATGTTTTAGTTAAAAATGTCGAGCAAAAACCCGCTATTTCATTGAAAACTCTTAAAACAGGGTTTTTCAACACGCTACTCTGACTAAATCAAGGTTTTGGGGTGCTGATGGAGCCCCTAAATCTTTTCTGTATGGCTGTTAGAATCTATTCATATATTTGGATTATCCCGAAACCCCTGTGCTTTCTTGTGCTTTTGCTATAAAATATTTGTTTTTCTGAAATACTCGTTCTCAACAAAGACGACATCTAAATTTATTGCGGGATTACAGGATCCATTCAAGGATAAATACATGAACGGGAAAAGTAATTATAAATTGAAATCATTATAAATCAATGCTATAGCTACAATTCATACAATGTTTGTAAATGAAAAGATTATTAGAATATATTCATTTCTGTGATTTGTCCTTTCTCAACATGAATCACAAACAAAGGCATTTTAAAAGGAGTAGTATAATATAGTTTCAATTATGATAAGGACTAACTAATAATTATTAAAATCTGATATTTTAGTAGTTTTCATGTGCTTCATGCATAATATCATTCTAAAAATGAAATAATTGGTCGAGAAAATTAAAGGTTTGTTTTCTGTAGCTCCGGATAGGAAAACAGGCAGTAGGCAGTAGCCATTACCTATAGTTCCTATGCATATCTATGTACAATTGTATAATGTACGTAGATAAATTCCAATATGTCCGACCAATGACCCGTCTTGGCTTCGTAAGACCATCATTTATTTGAAGAATGTGAAAGTAAGGTGAAACAATAGAACCCAAAGTTAATCTTCTTATCTCTCTGCTGCAGCAGTAAAATTGAGAATTATTTGCATTATTCGACCACAAGACTAAACTATACAAAATTGGACAAAAACGTGAATCGTTAAAATCTCTCTTTTTGGACATTTCTGTAAGATGGTTTCCAGCTCATTTTTTTAAAAATCTTCGCAATTTAAACGGAAAAGTCTTTTTGCCAATACAATGTCTAAATTTTAAATGTTAAAATTCTCTAGATTTGAAGAATAGTAAAGTAAAAGGATTATAATGAGATTACTTATAATGATAATAATGAAAGTAATAATATTGAAGAAAATAATAATAGTAATAATAATGACAAAAATAATAACAGTAATAATAAATTATAATCATAACAGTAATAATAAATTATAATCAAAATTTATTTCATTTATCGTGAGTATATCCTACATTTTCGCAAACGGAGAGATATAGTCACGCAGAAATTGTTCGCCTAGCCATACCAAGTTAAACAGCATATTGCAGTTCATTAATACCGACCCAATATCGTATTGAAAAATGAGTGTAGCTTTTAAAAAATGTTTAAAAATTGGAAAAAGGACGGATCATATTCGTATTATTTAATGTTTGTTAATATTTGTTTAATTCTTAAAACATCATTTGCTTATTTTGTTTGGTTCTTCAAAAGTTTGTTTCTTTGATTGGTTCTTCAAAAGTTTCTTTTATTCATTGGTTCTTCAAAAGTTTCTTTTATTCATTGGTTCTTCAAAAGTTTCTTTTATTCATTGGTTCTTCAAAAATTTCTTTTATTCATTGGTTCTTCAAAAATTTCTTATATTCATTGGTTCTTTAAAAGTTTCTTTTAATCATGGTTCTTCAAAAGTTTCTTTTATTCATTGGTTCTTCAAAAATTTGTTTCTTTGATTAGAAAAATTTGTTTGATTCATTGGTTCTTTAAAAGTTTTTTTTTT